CAATTTTTATTTTCACCAGGGAAGTGCAGATAGAGCAGACTAAACTGAGTCGAAAAGTTCTCTATAATTTTTAAATTTCGCTATAGTTAATAATTAATAATTAAAAATTACTATATTAGCCCGGGCTATCGCCCAATGTAAGCGCGCGGCGAGATGCGACTGCTCATTACAGCAATCGAGATTGCTAAGTAAGCGTGCAAGGAATTGCAGTTTATTACCAGCAGCAATGGCTGACACGAGCGGCGCGAACGCTGGACTCTCGTTCTGAGCTATATGATTTGTGCTCCTCCTCGAACAGACAATGAATAAGTTAGCTAATTTGCATGAATATGTCATCTTGCATCCGCGTTTGAGAATTGCGTTTTGCGTGTTGCGACTTATATGTATAGACAGGCCTTTAACGAATGCCAAGTGCGCACTTACGTGCATGCGTGCGTACGTATGTCATATCGAGGAGCGGATCCAATTTTATCTTTTTCTCTTCTCCTTTCTTTCCCTGGACGCGATACTTATAACCTCGACAATTTAATATTATAATTTAAGAGAAAAAGAGATTAATTTTTATCTAGAAATGACCTCATACAAGACTCAATAGTCATTATAATTACCACGCAAAGTTTGAGATCTTTATAGTATACAGTCTGCTTCACTGCCGCACATACTACGACAATTGTTATATGTATATAGACACACCATATTTCTTCAATATCTTATTTCTTGGCGCATTATTATATAAGTATCTTACATTTATCGAATTACGCGTAAAATTAGCAAATATGCAAAATTAAATATCTTCCTATGCTTGAATTATATAAAATAGCATTTGCATAAAAATCTGCAATTCAATGATCATTATATATGCAACACATACATTCTGATGCATGAATATTTAAATATAATACGTACTTACGTCTGAATAGCGTTAATGCTGTTTCATGTATTAAATGTTTATGATTCTAAATACGTATATCAAAAATTTTTATCGTAATTTTTTTATTTTTTGTATTTTTAATTTTAAGTATCTCAGTGATTTAGTTAAAATCTTCAAATTAACTGTAAATTAAAGTTCCTATAAATAATACATATGTATAATTTTTATTGCAATTAATCTTATTCCAAAAGTTTATTTTTATAATTTCACTAATTTCACACACAAAGTTTACTTCGGAATTAAGAATATTTAACAAAACTTTAATTCTAAATTTGATTCTTGATTAATTAACATACAAAATTATTTAATCTCATTTAGTTTCTACTAAATCTAAATTTTTTAAATTTAACTTGAAAAAATAGAGGCTCGTATAATGAATAAATCATAAATAGCAATAGTGCCTTTGCGAGCCGACACGGATGTTGATGTGTAATAATTTTTACTGTTACAATATCAAGCCCGTACAAACTGCGCGCCGCATATATTGTCGGTCTTGAAACATATAGTTCTTACATGAGGCCAGAATCCACTG